TCAACCCCCTCCACTTGATTATAACCCTTGGCTACAAGCCTAGCTTTGTATCTTTCCACACTCCCATCCGGATTTAATTTGACCTTATATACCCACTTTGAGCCTATAGCCTTTTTTCCAGCAGGTAATGCAGTCAATTCCCATGTTTCGTTCTGTTCTAAGGCAACCAACTCCTTATTCATTGCATCAACCCATTCCTTTTTACCACTAGCTTGTTTATAGGATTTAGGTTCTTTAAATTGAGATACATTGCCCAAAAGTTGCATATATGCATGAGAAAAAACAGAATTGGATGTATATGGATATGTGGGAGGTGTATAAGGAGAAGGGTTCAAACACTGTGACTAAGAAGTAATAGCAGCAAGAGATGATGGATTTGTAAAGCTAAAGTTTGTGACAATGTCATTCAACCAAGCAGGTTTTGATTTTGTCCTAGTACTTTGTCTTTTAGGAATGGAGGATGATGTAGGTAAAGAATCAGGTTGTGTCTGGATTTCAGGTTCTAAAAATTGACTCTCTAGGTTAGGTTGAATGTCATCTTGTAATGCAGTGGAAGGGTCAGTAAAAGGAATAGGATCATTAGAAGGAATAGGATCTGGAGTGCAATTTTCAATATAAGAAATAAGATCATCAAATGGTAAAGGCAATGGAACATCAAGAGGTTTAGGATTAGAATCAGCAAATGAAAAAGTTGTTTCATGAAAAATTACATCTTTGGATGTAAAAATTTGATGAGTAGAAAGGTCATACAACTTGTAAGCCTTTTGTCCAGGTTCAAAGCCAATGAAAATGCATTTAAGGGCTCTTTAATCAAATTTGTCTTTGTGAGGTCTTGTATTGGTTGTAAAACACAAACGACCAAAACATTTTAAATTGTCATAGTTTGGAAGAGTGTTATACAGAAGCTCATAAGGTGTTTTCCACTGCAAAACAGAATAAGGCAGCCTATTCACTATATATGTAGCCATAAGCAAAGCATGACCCCAAAATTTTCTAGGTAGGTGTGCTTGATATAACAAGGATCTAGCAATTTGAAGGAGTTGTCTGTGTTTTCTCTCCACAACACCATTCTGTTGTGGAGTGTAAACACAACTTCTCTGGTGTAAGATGCCTAATTCACTAAGAAATGTTTGAAACTCATGATTTAAGAATTTTGAACCATTGTCTGACCTGAGGATTTTGACTCTTGTAGCAAATTGGTTTTCCACCATTCGAATGAACCTGATAAGAATGATAAATGTCTGGGATTTATGTGCCATTAAGAAAGTCCATGTGGCCCTGCTATAATCATCCACTATTGTGAGCATAAAGTGTGCTCCAACAATAGATGGATGCTTATAAGGACCCCACAGATCAGCATGCAAAAGATCAAAGATATGGGAAGTTTGAATGGAGCTAGTTGGAAAAGGAAGTCTGGTTTGTTTAGATTGATGACAGATTTGACAAGGTGGAAAAGTATCTAATTCTGTTTGAGCCATGAAATGCAAATGTTTCAAAGCATTAAGAGAAGCATGACCCAATCTTCTGTGCCAAAGGAACAATAAAGACACTGCTTTATTATTATTTGAAACAGAATCAATACAAGGAGTATTCAGCTTTGGCACAACATGTGCATTAGCTTTATTACAAAAATGAGGTGTTTCAATGGAAAAACTAGACTTATCAAGCACATACAAGGTTCCTATCAATCTACCAACAGCTATCTTCTTCTCAGTCCTCAAGTCCTACAGCAAGCAATGTGTAGGATAAAAGATAACTTTAATGTTAGAAGTTTTAACAAGTTTACTTACAGACATAAGGTTAAAAGTAAAACTAGGTAGGTATAAGGCATCTTTCAATGTTAAAGAAGAATGTAAATGGATATCTCCAATTGATTTTACTAGTTTTGTGGTTCCATCAAGTAGGTAAACTGGACTTTTGTGTAAAGGCGTTTTAAGTTTTGTAAAAAGGGTAATATCATTGCACATATGATGAGGCACCTGTATCAACAATCCAAACCCCATGTCCATATAAATCAAGTGTGTTCAAAGCAAAAGTAAGAGCAAAATTTATACCTGCATAATCTTCATAATGAGCAAGGCTAGCATGGTTACTGTTGACAATCATCTTCCCTTTGAGCTGCTTTGCAAACTCTTGCTGAATGAAGCTGGATAGCTGTTCTGTATCTTTCTCAGTCTTCTTGTCAGTCAACAAATCAAGTGTTGATTCAGTAGAATTAGCGGCATTAACTCTCTCAGCTGCTCTCTGACCCTTCAAGGTTTTATACCAATCAGGATAGCCATGTATTTTGAAGCAAGTCTCACAAAACTGGCTTTCCTTTTCTTTCTTGCTAAAATCAGACTTCTTGTAACTTCCTCTCCCTACACCTGGCTTTGGTGCATCTTTCTTGTAGTTCAAATTTCCCTGAGGTTTTGTAAATAAGGTTGTGCTCTCATTATTATCAATAAATGTCATATGGACTGCTCTTTGTTTCTCTACCTTCTGTAGCATAGAATATGCTTTGTTAACAGATGGTAATGGCTCCATGAGAAGAATTTGGTCATTTGCATTGTCAAAACTATCGTTAAGCCCATCAAAAACTGCATTAGCCTATTTGATGCAGTAATATCTGACATTAACCTTGTTGCACCACATTCACAATGAGGAATAGGCTGTAGGCAGTTCAATTCATCCCAAAACCATTTCAATTTTGTATAATACTGAGCCACAGACATGTTGTTTTGAGAGATTGAGCTTATTTCTCTCTGCAACTGATAAAGCATTGGACCATTGCTCTCCCCATATCTTTCCTGCAACTCATCCCATAATTCTTTGGCAAATCTAGAATATAAGAAAGCCTCAGCAGTTTCTTTCGACATTGAGTTCAAAATCCATGAAATCACCATGCAATTCACTCTATTCCATTGTTTATATAGAGGTGATTCCTTTTCAGGTTTCTCATAACTTCCATCAATAAACCCTAGCTTAACCTTTGCTTCAAGTGCAATCATCATCGATTTACTCGAGGTTAGGAAATTATTACCTGTCAATGAAGTAGAGACCAAAATCATCCCTGGATGATCAGAACTTTGCAAGTAAAGAGGATCTCCATTGTTAAGATCCTTCGACAAATCTATGTTCTCTCCATTGATCACTTGATCCAATCTAGGAGAATCTCCTTGATTCTCAGCCATTATCGAGTCTTCAAGCTCAAGAGTAACAATCGATTCAATCAAAATTCAMGAGTATCCACAGCACTAGATCTTGATGCTCTGATACCATGAACAGTTCGAAACCAGAAGAAAATGAAGAAGAGAAACTTCTCATTCATCAAAAAACCAGCTACTAATAGTAGCTTACATTGAGCTTATATACAAAACGAAGAGAGAGAAAACTAACAGAAAAAATAACAAACTTTGTAACTAACATTGCCACCTCATCATGAAATGCCAACTCACTAAAACTAACTAACTAATTCTCTAACTCACTTAACAGAATAAATAACTAACTAAATGAGCTACACTAAAATTACAGCAGTTGTACATGGCTTCACCTTCAATCTCAAATCTACTAAGAAAGAAAAAAGTGAGAATTGTCGCAATGGCTCATCCACCTAGGTACTAGGTCATATGGTAATTGTTTTTAACTTTCCATTTCCCAAACTTCATGTCATATAATACACAGTTGTTTTCCACCAATAGAACCAAGGCACACTAGCTTAAATRCTTCATAGAAACCAAGCCATTGTATATGATCCTCCTGGATGTGATAACCACAAATAGACAATTGAGCCACCAATATTGATTAGAAAAAACAATTGAACCACCAACTATTTATTTCATAAGCACCAAAAAAAAAATTGTTGCCCGCAACTTAACAACTGAGTTTTAGTAAACAGTTGCATGTGCATAATAACCTGTTCCTTCAACACAACATATTTCATGAACCAATTTTATCATTACTGTTTTAGTGAGTGTCAGACACTTCACATTAGTATGATTTTGCATGTCTATCTCTATCATACTTCTGCTTTATACCATTTATTAGTGCTTGACAGCATCACTAAATGGATGAACCATTACGTCCCAACTCCCAACAGCCATCAACATATGAAGTATCCAATTTGGTGGATCAATTTGATATCGGTATTTGTCAAATCCAGAAGGGGCAAAATAAACTGTTGCTTGATAATGACTCAAGGTTTCGTAAATAATTCTCAAAGTGATTAAACAACAACTACCATGAAAGCAAATTGCTTTCTCTGGAAGTCAGATACTAAAGCTCCTAGACTGCAAACCAAATGTCTAATCTAAATATGAGTGGGGTTTCTTCATAATCTGTGCATTAGTTGCTTATGGAGTTATTATTAAATTTGTGTCTGCATATTTTATGTGTATGGTAATGGCAGTGTTTTAAAAGCAAAAGGCGCAAAGGCCATTTTGTGCTTGAGGCGAGGCGCGCGCCTTTTTGAAGCAAGGCGCACAATTAAAAATAAAAAAAAAAGCTAAAAAATCAAAAAAATATATAAACTTAAGTTTTAAAATAAATGTTTTAAAAAACCTATTATATAAAATGAAAATACATAAACATAATATGTAAAGCATATTCAAATGAGAATTTAAAAATGAAATCAAACATATAAAACATTTTCAAGCATATATAACCCACAATCTCTTTTTTTCTCAATTACATCAAGTAGCTAATGTGACATATTACATTCCTAATTCTACGAGCTGCCTTTGTGCCACGCCCCTCGAGGCAAGCCCAAACAAGTCCATGTTAGGGTCTTGAATTCTTAGCTCTCACACAAAAACATAATGATTTTATAGTTTTAATTGCTTTTAAGAAGATATTTTATTAAGATGAATGAATGGACAGCTTCAAGAACCCCCTATTTGGTAATGTTGTCCATTCATTCATCCTAATAAAATATCTTCTTAAAATCCATTAAAACTATAAAATTATTTTTTGTGTGAAAACTAAGAATTTAAGACCCTAACATGAACTTGTTTGGGCTGGCCTCGAGGGGCGTGGCACGAGGGTACGGGGGTCCGAGGGTGTAGCCCCCGGCCCGGCCACTAGACTCAAAAAAAGGAAAACCGTCAAATTTTCAAAAGGCGCACGCCTGGGCTAATGGTAAACATACAGCTTCAAAAAAGAGATAATCCTTGCCATTGTACTTTATCAGCTTACATGCAACTATACCAGACAAGTTATGTGATTTGTGTCAGGCAAATTGTGCAATTATATCAGCATCACATCATCTTATTTTGTCACTTACTGCTGATGACTCAAACACTGACAACAGAGGGAATAACCAATATCAGTTACTATTCACCCTCAGTCTCATAGAAGTACGTTCATCCCTCACCCCGAACAAAAATAATGATATGATTAGTTCATTCCAGACTTCCCTGATTGAAGGGTGCAGCACTCTAACCTGTCTGCATCAATTGTATCTGGTATTTATTGCATTTCCAAGTCAGACACCAAGCCTACCTATGAGGTAGTTCCTGGGTCAGTCGGTCCAAGTGTCTAATCTTCACATAGGCCTTGAAACATTTCTAGCAAATCACCAAATTTTCTCTAGGGCATCTATAGGACAAACCCAACCTCCACTTGCAAAGCCTACTTTGTTCTAATACCTATGAAAACTAAATCAACTTCAGCCCTTGCAAGATGCCTATACTGCTATTTTAACATTCAAATTTAACCTACAGTCTAGATCCCCTGTGGCTACAGACCAGAACCATAATAAGAATTTTTACCCTTCTTTAGAAAAAATGGTTCAAATTGTCTTAACAGGATAGGCTCCAAAGGGACCAGTACATAATGACAAGAGAGGAAGGCACTAAAAGAAAACACCTGTTCAAAAAATGGTAGATGGAACTTATGATTTTCTCATTGCATAATCAAGTATAAACTGTCAAGTGTTTAACCTGTTAGCTGTTGTTCATCATCAGCCTAGTGTCTATCTATATGCATATGCATCTCTGTATGTGTGTCGTGTGGTCATTAATTGGACTTGACAGTGCTATTAACAATGGTTGCAAGTGTAGTCAGTTGGAGCCATTTGAACAAAGTTCGTATTTCAGTAAGTCAAAATTACAGTTGACATCATGAGAATCCTGAAATGTTAAAATTACCCATGACAGTGCTTCATGAATGTTTATTGAGTTATATATGCCAACACTATTAGCAAATGAAAATCCCGAAATGTTAATACTATGTATGGTAACTGACACATGGTACTTGAATGATAAAATGTTTGCACTCCTTGGGTATGCAAATAAGTGTGTGGGATCAGCAAGATGAGTCATGAACAGGTGTGCAATTATTCCTCCTTCTGTACTTTGAAAATGTCCAGTATTTTCAAAATCATCAGATTTTTTTTATCAATACAAAAAAAAAAAATCAGCAGGATTTTGTAACATATTTCTTTATTTCAACGCCAGAAAACAAAACAGAACAACATACAATTAAGTGAAATTGAAGTACAAAAAATTGACATAGTATTGGAATCAAATGAAAATACTAGTTGTTAATCCAAGACCTTTTCTATTCTGTACTCACAAAAGATAAGTAGTTTCTTATCATTCTCAGTAACAAGGGATTACCAATTATGAACAGTATAGCCTGCACATACAATACACCGTAAACAGTATAATCTAGGTATGCTGAACAAACCATGAGATCTTTCATTATCTGCCAAAAAAAAAAGGTCTTGATGATCTAATAAAGTTTAAAAATTAAAATAAGCCATGAGATCTAACAATCAGAATATCTATAAACATGGATAAGACCAAGTTAGTTAAATCACTTCTGGGGTGTTTGCTAATGTGACCCCCTCCCCAACCATCACCATCAAAATAGAATCCAAAAACTAAATCAGGCATCATTGCTACATTTTCATTTGTCAAGATGATCGAACACTTTTCTGCTTTTACAATTTCATGGGTCATAAGGGTCATGCCACCACTTTGAGATGCTGAGATGATCTTTATATGAAATCTTGCTGTGCTAGTAGGACAGTGCCATAAGCAATGCTAATAACAGCATGTGCCTGGTTGTCACCAAATACCCCCTCCCCCCCAAACGTTGCGAGATTGAGCTTCAAAATTGTCGGTAAAGCATGCTAATCACATATAAAAAAAATCCAGATAACCAACCAAAAAACTGAACAAGCAACTGAAATTTCTAACAGACGGATAAATCTAAGTTGACGTATTCTCCACTTCTACTGTAGACCACGGTAACCCATTCATGGCATGCTAATTTCATATTTGTTTAAGGATGGAGGATTATTACGTTGCTGCGTTTGTTTCTCCGTAAAAATGGACGTAAATGTATTCAGGTTGGCGTATTTTAGCTATTACTTCTGCACCTTTATGAAAACTTTGTTTTTTGACCCTTTCTAGTTTGTTTTGATGTAAATGGCAATGAAAATAAAGTTCCCGTTGTGAGTGACTAAAAGGAACGAAAAACATAGCTCGAATATATCAGCCTGAGATATCTTCCCCCCATTTTACGTTGAAAATAACGAACGCTAAGAAACCAATTTCCAACCTGTCTGAGTTAAAACCCTAGATCAGGAAGTGGAGAAATCCAAATTCACCACGAATTTAGATGAAAGAATTCGTGTGAAAAGTATACAAACCTCAGGTAACCATTTCTCATTCTCGGCGTCCGCCATGACGATGTTGAGCCAATCTGAATTTTTCTTCTCCATCTCCATAACAAGATTAAGCAAAGAATTGCAGAGCCTGCACTTGGAGGAGTAGAATTCAATAACTGTCGCCTCTTTCCCACTTACTAGCGCCAAAGCTAGGGCACGATGTTCCGCTTCTCCTTGTTCTTCGGGAGATAGTACCTTCTTCCTTGCCGTCGGCGTTGAGCTGGTCTTATTCTCATTGATCCCGACATCTAACTGGTTGGGCTTGAAGGAACTGAGCGAGGGATATATGCTTCTGGAAGCTGAATGGAACAGATTGATGGCGAGAGACCCAAGGTTTTGCAGTGAGTTGAAGAGCCAAGGAACGTCCAAGTTACATGTGTTAGGGCTTTTAGGGTTCTGGGGATGGATGTCCCATGGCCATTTCAAGCAGAACAGAGGATGTTTCGGAGGAATTCCCGTCATGTGCCGATGTGCGCCTTTTTTCTTGTGCTGGTAATCTCACCTGGACAACCAGTTTCTCACTTCTGTATCTATAGCCCAACGCTATTCCCGAACAGCTACATCCGGTCCGAATGTCAAACTGTGGTATTCGAATCCGATCCAACCTATATCATGCTGGGCCTGGGTTTTAGGTCCACGGCCCGGCATGGCATGACACGGCCCAGCCAGTAGTCCGGTATGGCACGGCCCAGCTCATAGCCTGGCCCAGCTCGTAGCCTGATCCGGCTCGGCCCATATATATTATTTATATATATTTTATATAAATTATAATTATATAATAATATATGGTATATAATATATTAATAAAACAAATATTTTATTTTATTTTATTATACTAATTTATTTAATTATTGTATATATAAGCAATTTTATACACAAAATTCATATAAAATTAAAATTTTAAGTTTTTTATCAATTTTTTTAAATAAATAGTTTTGGCCTGATGCACGGCCTGACCTGGCTCAAGGCTCGGCCCACGGGCCCGCAGAGGCCTAGGCCATGAGCCGTACCGGGCCGACCCCCAAATTTTTCACCAGGGAGGGCAGCATGGCCCACTTTACACCTAGTTATTTGTGTTTGAGAGATCATTAAATTCAAAATGTTTAGAAACTATTTTTTAACTTATGCATATATATAAATTGTATATAATTATAAAATATTAAATTTATCATATATAAACTTAGTATGATTGCATACAATATCTATATATACACATAATTATATTATATATAATATGGCTATCTGATTATTAATTAAATACAATTTATAGCTTCTAAGGGGGTGTTCTTTTTTATGGATTTTGAGAGGGGGGAAGTTGGTGAGTGGGATTTTGGTTCCCATTGAACAAGAATCCCATGTTCACATTTTATATTAATGTGGGGATCAGTGAAAGTTTATTTTCCTACTGGTAGGTGGGGAGGAAAGTTGCTAACACTTGAATGGGGCAAAAATGCCATTTTTAATAATGGGTTTTTATGATTAAAATGATCATTACCTTATTTACATTAGAAATAAAAGAATATGGGTAAATGCACTTACTCGGGTAAGTGTTTCCCATGAAGGCCATGTTCGCTTTTTAGTAAGTTACTTACCCGGGTAAATCCAATTACTTTGGTAAATTTTTCCCCGAAAACACTTATCCAGGTAAGTGCATTTACCCATGTTCTTTTATTTCTCATGTAAATAAGGCAATGATCATTTTATCCATAAAAATTCATTATTAAAAATGGGTATTTTTGCCCATTCAAGTGTTGGCAACTTTCTCCCTAGGTGGGAAAGTTATTTACCCACCTAAGAGATGGGTACAGGAAAATAAACTTTCCCGAATCCCCACATAAATCTGAAAAAATAACATGGAATTCTTGGTCAATGGGAATCCCATTGACCAACTTTCCCCCCTCTCAAAATCCGGAAAAAAAAAAGAACACCCCCAAAAAACTTATCCAATTAATTACATTTATCCAAATAAATAAACGAGACCTAAGTTCTAACATCCAAATTCAGGATAATTGGGATTGAATTGAAGTCAGTATTAAACTTTCAAAGCCCATTGACTATCTTATTCACAGACATAGTTTTAAAAAGCGCCAAGGTCGTGAGCCATTGACACATCAAGGCCAGGTGGAGGGTGGAGCCAAAACACCTTGCCCCTCTACCAACAGCTACGACCTCTATTTTTGAGAGACTCACGCTCACCGCCTTGCACCTCAAATTGGTGCCTCATATAAAAAGCATTAATGGTAGAAAAAGAAAAATATCGTTATAAATTAGTTTTAATATTTTCTTATAATATTATAAATTGATTTTCTTACATTTGATTTTAAGAAGAAAATCATTTTTCTTAAATTTGATTTTAAGAAGAAAAACATTTTTCTTAAAAGTTTGTTTCATTTATCATTCAGAAAAAACAAAAAAGGGATATTAATTAATTATAATATTATAAATTTATTTTCTTAAAATTTAAGAAGATTAATCATTTAGTTGTTTATAAGTGAAATAAGTAGAACTATACTAAAAAATTCCTCATAATATTTATTTAAACAAAAAAAATGTCATTTGTTTTTTCGCTTAGTAAATGTACATGTTAGAGTAGGGTTGCTTTTTCCAAAATCTAATTACATTGAAAAAAAAATACTTTTATACAAACAAATTTTGTTTTGGGCCGGGGCTCCGTCCCTGTACCCAGCCAAGTTTGCCCCCAAACACCTTATTTGTTGCATAATGGGGAGGGGGGTCTGCTCACTTGCTCACCTCCACTCCACAGACCCCTCCTTCCCTTTTACTAGTTTTAATTATTAATCGTTTATAAATTAAATTGTATTAAAAATCTAAATATAATATATATATATATATTAAGTAAATATATTTTTATTTAGAAATAACAGGTTATATACGTAAAAAAAATCAATAGAATGTATCACATAAAAAAGAACATGATTTAATAAAAAATTAATATATTAACTAATTTTAGCACGTATCTATATATTAACTAATTTAGATCAATTGAATTATAAACATAAAACAAAATTAAAAAACATTAGTATTATATTAAAAAGAATATGTATGCAATAAAATAGAAAATATATTGGCTATTAAATGAACTACATTGTGCCTATACATACATACATAAAAATTATATTTATACTTTGAAGCTTATGCCTCAAACCACCTCAAGGGTCAAGGCTTACGCTTTGCCTCAATGGGATTTAAATGCCTTACCTCCACTTTTAGCCTTTTAAAACCTTGTTCACATATCAAGACCCTGTACTGATTTAGGTCATGTTCATTTACTAGTGAATAAGCCCATTAACCAACTTTACAATGTTCTCTTTTGCATTAAGCAGTAGGCCCCATAGTAAAATCAAATTTACTTACCTAGTTAAACCTTACCTATCTCCTAAGTGAGTAAAATCACATAATGGGACAACTTTTTTTCCATTTTAATACTAGCTTTTTTTTTAGCTTATAAAAAAATAATGATTTTTTTATAGGTAAAAAAAATGTCATTCTATTACTTAAGTGGGAATTGTGAGAACCAAAAGAACATGAGTAAGTGAAATTACCCATGTCAATATTACACATGAAACATTTACCTAGGTAAGTACATGTACCCGAGTAACTTACAAAGTTGTAAACGAACAAGGCCCTATTATCTCTTGGACTATTGGTTATTGCAATTTAAGCAAATAAACATCACCAATAGCATTTAGTTAGGGAAAATGAATAAAAAATGCCCTTGAATACAAGTTCACATTAGGGGTGTACAATCAGCCGATTCGGTTCAAACTTATGACGTAACCGATTATTCGGTTTTACCATTTCCTCCAACCAAACCAAATTATATTTTAGAACTGAAATGACTCTAACCGAATTTGGTTTAGTTGGACCATGGTTCCACATAAACGACAAGCATTTAATAAGTGTTATTAATGAAAATTAAAATGGCCCCAAAACCCAATGGTTTTAATTAATTAACTATTAATTATTACTAATTAAAGGTTAAAATGACCCCAAAGCCCATTGATTTTAATTAATTTACTATTATTAATCAAAAGATAAAATAGGCCCAAAGCCCTATGCCAATGAGGAATCGACAAATTGGCCATTCTCATAAATAATTAATGATTAATGAACAATTAATGACTAATAAATAATGAATAATGAGTTTTAATTAACTGTTATTAATTGTTCATTGGGAAATATAATAATTAATTAGCATAAAGCATTAATGTTTAATATATTCAATTAAATAACAACATTAATTCGACTTTTGCTTCTATTCGGTTGAAAATTCAATTCAACCAAACGGAAACTAAAAACCATTTTTTTAAATAAAAATTGAATCGAAAGTCGAGTTAACCAAACCGAACTAGCTTATTTGATTTGGTTTGGTTCGGTTTTTTGGTTTATCAACCGAATTTGAACACCCCTAATTCACATCAACTACTTTGGATACTGTGACCTCTCAAATCAATAAAACATAAACCAATGCATCAGCACTTGCAATAAATCCAAGTTATTACAACTGATTTTTATTATTTCAAAAGCATATGTTCATATTTCATTGGAGGTTCCATGCAACCAGAGTTGTAGCAAATTTTTTCTTTCTTGCATGCATTAGATATTAAATACCTTATGTAGTACATATTAGACATTAAATGCCTAAATTACCATTTTCAGACGACTTTGCCCTTTCCTTCGTTGTCCTATTTTTTTATTCAAATCAAACACATTGTAAGTAGTTAAGTGAGACACCACCATACCATAAGGGGTACATGAAATTTAACATTAATTTTGAATTATATAAATGGGATACATCCTACATCAAGTGGGGGCATGTGTCAATAGCTTACCATATTATATGTTTTAAGGCGTACTTATGTATGATACGACATGGCATTTCATATGTAGTGAGTGTGGTGAGTTAATACATGCATGCCCCACGAGTTTAGCATTGGGAGGCTATTTGCATGACACTTTCCTATTTGAAGGGACACCTAGGTAGAGGCATGTTGTTTGCTGATTATGGATAATTGAAGTTAGAGATTTACGATGTTGATTGGGTAAGGTGTCTAGATAACAAGAGATATACATCAGGGTTTTGTACTATTATCGAAGGCAATTTAGTTTTATGGAAAAGTAAGAAACAAACAGTTGTGGCAAGGTCAAGTGCATAAGCTAAATGCATAACCACGACACATAGTGTTTTAGAGCTCCAATGGATCCATTCCTCGTTGGGGGAGATTGGTGTTCAAGTCGAAAAACCTATGATGCTATATCGTGATAATCAAGCAGCAGTTAACATTGCCCACAACCCAGCTCCACATGATAGGATGAAGCATATAGAAACTGATAGACACTTTATAAGGGAAAGGGTGACATATGGAGAAGTTTGCTTGCGATAAATTGCTAAAAACAAACTAGAGCATGATCTACACAAGTTGGGAATATGTGACATTTATTCCCAACTTGAGGGTGAGTGTTGAGTTTGAGGTTGATATAACATTTTTTTTACAGTTA